TGTTTCCCAGGTTTGTCTGCTTGTCACTGAGTTGTCTAAAATGTCAGCCATTGTTCGTTGTCAGCTGTTGTTCGTACTGCTTTTGATTTGTTTGTCTAAAGGCTTTCGAGTTGTTCATAGGAGTAAGGTTAAAGTTAGTTAAATAGTTAATAGTCAAAGTAAAAGGTCCATTGGCTCTTTAGTGAGAACTGGTCGTCTCCGACCTCCCCCGGACGCGGGGAAGGTAAAGGCGAGGTTTTGTCGGTTTTATCCTTGGGGAGTGCTGCCCCCTAAAAAGAACGCGTTAGCCAATCTGTGACTTGGTCAAGAAACGCAAAAGTGTTGAGAGGGGTCCACCATAGGAAGAAAGATAAGAGAATAAGATAAAGGTTGATCGCGATCTGTTCCTCTAAAGAGTAATAAGTGAAGTAATAAGTGAAATAAGTGATAAAAGAGGACATCATAGGAGCTGAAAAGCGTGGATCCATTTCTGTGTGTCTGTCAGCTGTGTGTGTAAGCTTCTGCCGCTGAGCAGACGTTATGTGTTTAAATGTACTATTTTATGTTTATCTCAATGTGTTTTAAAACCATGGTCAAGATTGGGAAATTATAATCTGTGGGAGGTTTTTGATTTTGTCTGCTGTGTTTGATTTCCTCGCCGCCGTGCGAGCAAAAATAATAAAAAAAAGAGAAAAAAAGAGAGAGGAAGAAGAGGTGATTTTTAAAAAAAACTGTAAGAAAAGAGGTGACTTTTGAGCCTAAATTTTAGCCTAAACAGATGGAGGGTGAACTTGAAAAGGGAAAATATGATCCAAAGTGGGGCATCGGGCCATGGATTGCGCTCGGTGAGTAAATAGAAGCATTAATAACTTATTTGGCAAAGCATGATGAATATCAAAATAAGGGAGAAAGAGAAAAACTAAAAAAAAAGGGCTAGAATACCTGGTGCAGAAAGGAGGCGACCTGTTAAACAGCCTTTGGGGAAATATTGGCTGGACGGAATAAATGATGGTAAGGGAAAACTTATTGAAACTAAACTAATCCTGCACAATTCACTAAATTCACATGTGGTAAAATTAACTGTATGAAGGATGAATGAAATTACATAACAGGTAAAATTATAAACAAAATAGACATCTAATGGGTTAAATTTAAATTTAATGAAACTTTAAAAATGAGGTTTATAACAGACTTGAACTTTATCATGGATTAATCAATATTTCTCTCTCTCATTATCTTATCAAAAACAGGATTTCTTTTTATGTGAAACTTGGTCACCTTAAAATGTCTAAAGAGGGAACAGAATTGGTAAATAAATATGAGTATGTGTTTGATTTAAAAGGTGATTATGAAACAGCTCCAGATTCAATTACGGTTCATTACAAAATATTCTTGTCTCAAAGACAATTTATGATTCTAAATCCAGATAATTCGGTTACCTTACTTCAAAGTGGGAAATAATGTGTTGGAACAGAAATAATCACATTTTAGCTTTGGTTTAAAACCAGATATCATTTATTACGAGACTGTTTCATTTGGTTTGACATGTTTTATTTTCTTTTCATTTGTATTGACATTATTGTTGTTTTTATTTTTTCTAATAACAAACCAACTAACCAACTAATTTACTAACTGAACTAACTGCTGATTTCAAAACACATGCGTGTCTTGGTAGAAAGGCACAAATTGGACATGATGAAACTTTTAAAGTGGATATGATAATAATTGATTATGCAAAAACAAACTGATTGGACAAAAACTGGCTAACAACATTTGTGTGCCTTAAATTTTGATTGAATTAATACATGCATCCAAGTCCAACAAAACATTTGATTTGAAACGCAAAGACATCTTACAGTACTGCATAATTTTGTCTACATCTTTTGCTCCTCTGCCTAAATTGATCAATTTGTCTTTTGTCGGTTCACACAGAACATTGACACTGCTTTTTAGGAAAGCAATCCAAATTCTGATCTGAACTCGTTAAAATAATAAAACTTTTGGCCTTTGCAGTACAGTTTCAGTTGGACATTTTAGACATATGTAAAAAAAAAGAGGATCTGAAAAATATTTTGTTTGTTTTCTATTTACATAAGAAAACAAAAGGGGGAAATGATAAATTATAAACATAAAACATTTCTGATAACATAAAACATTTCTGATAAATCTTTACATTTAAAACATTTCTGATAAATCTTTACATTTAAAACATTTCTGATAAATCTTTACATTTAGAACATCTCAAAGTATACTTTCAATTCTAGACAGAAGATTTGGAAAACTTGTGACACCCTGGAATATTTTAGTTTTGGAGAATAGTAACAAATGCAAAATTTCT